AGTCTCAGGCAGACACTCCTGCAAAGTCTCAGGGAACTGATAAGCACCTGGAAAAAGCCTGAGATAATACCTGATATGCAGTTGGCTGTAAGCAACTTCCCAGAGAGATTGGGGTTATTGGCAAGTCAGGGCATGCATCCAGGACCTGGCAGACAGTTTCCGAATGATAAACCCCCATGTCAATCACATCAATCAACAAGATCACCGACTGCTGAAACCTCACAAAGATGTGAAGAATTTCCTCCTGGACAAGATCTACTTGGACCTACAAGAACAACTTCACCTGAAGAACCACCGAGGTCACAGTCATCTGGAACTTCAGTCAGCCCCACACAATACCAACTAAGAAGACAAGCACCACAGATTCCAGCGAGAGTGACTCCAGCTCAGAAACTGATGAGGCCTATAGGGCAGTCTCCAGGCTTTGAGCCTCCTGTGCAAAGATTTGGGACTCTGACTCTCATTGAAAACGATACAAAAGGACATGAAGAATTGCCTCAAAAAGAAGTGTGGAGATTTGTAACCAAGATAAAGAAATTTGGGTCATCAGAAACAAAGTTCAGATGTGCATTTGGCATTGCAATGTTCTCCACTGGCGACATTGTCACATCAGATGTGGGAAGGAGGCAGCTTGTCAAGATTACCAATGCTTGCTCCACTAAATCCCGTTACTCAAAATCACTGATTGGGAAGAATGTCACTTTGCCGCCGACCCATGTGGCTGTGAACAAGAATGACCAGCTTGTTGTCCTGATTTCTCCCATAGTGTTGATGTTCACCGAGGAAGGCCAGTTCATCCGGCAGTTCCTTCCAGGGAGAACAGAGTCTAAAAAAGCCCCAACGTGCCTGGCAGTGGATGACAACAATCTGATAGCAGTTGGCTTTGTAGACAATGATGAGATAGCCCTGCACAATGTAGATGGAACCCTTATCAAGATGCTGTCTGCCCCGCTGATTGGTCAATATCTGATTGCCAGCAAGCAGAAGTTTGTCTACACCAACTGCACAAGAAAGCAACTTGTATCAGTGGACTACAATGGCAGTCTGGTGTTCTCTTTCGATATGCAGCTCCCAAAGAAACGCGAATACATGTATGCATGCCCCACTGGAATCTGTTCAGGTGCAGATGGCAGCTTGTATGTTGCCATTCAGGGATCAGGATCAGGCAAAATTTACAAGTACACCCATCCTACTACTCTTGACGAGCCTATCTTGAGATGTGTAATCGCTGACTATACTAGTCCAGTGTACTGCATCACTTGTAATCTAGAGGGTAATGAGTTGGCTGTCGCTACAGGACGGGCCATTCATATCTATCGACGTGAGCCCACAACAATCAAGAAACGCAGGTAACTTCACATTTCTCTTCAGCCCAGAGGAACGCTGTAACCCTTACCAGATTAATCAGAAATGCTGGAACTGCAGGTCCTGCATTCTATGCTTCATGCGGTCAATGCGGCCAATTAATGGCAACACAGCTTTGTTTGTACAGATCCAGTCAGAAATTGTTCACCCACACCACAGATCTCAGTTCCAAATCTGATGCCTTCTGGGTTTGACATCCATGTGAAGAAAAAGTACACAGAAGTGCACTTTGTTACTATTCAACATTGTCTGGGCTTTTTCTTGATGTCTCATACCTCCCTACAAAGCTGTGCATTTCCAGCTGGTATATCTTTCAAATTGCGATTTCCCATTAAACTTTGTCATCAATCACTGAAAGATTTTTGGCTGATGCGACAGCCGTTTGGTTGAAAAGCTGACACATTTTCTCTGCTTGCACAAAACCCTGTTGAACTTGGAGGAGTGTTTTTTCTAGTAAAAATGAATGTCACACCACCAAAACAGAAGTTATAGAGCACACACATAATGCAGCACATGTTTGTGCACAGCACACATTCCAGCCAAATGTAAAACATCACAGAATATCATATTGCCAAAAAGCAACTCTTGGAGAGAATATATTACATATAGAAGAAAGGAATTTCATCGGGAACATCATTTCACCAAAACAATTTGTGCACACACACTGCTAAGTGCTAGTTATTTAGCTTCATTAACAAGTAATCAAATTTTTTTGTGTCTCAAAATTAACTGATCAAGTAAAGGACATGCTAAAAGTCAGATGTCCAAAAATCACTAATTACCCAAATCTCTGTTTTTGCGGCAGATTCATCTCTTCATCAAAACGGTGATGAACTTTATAGGGCACTGTTACTGTAATGTGAATCAGGATGACACATTTCAATTTACAATATTGGCTTATTAAAAAGCCTGTCAGAGAAAAGATTGCTTGTATTACCATATGCCTACACAAAAATGAATTGACAAGAAAAGGAAATTTTGTACCCCAAAATATAAAAAATTTCACCACATTCTTGTGCAAAACTCAATGCAACTTTGAGTTTTTCTCTCTCAAATGGCCTCAATTTTGCTCATGAATATGGAGGTTCGTATTTGCATAAAAGGCAAAAAGCCATCAAAATACATTTAAAACAGCACAACAAAAGCTGAAACTAAGTTTAATTGAAATATAAAGGTACATTTTTAAGGGATGTAGTAAAATTAAATTCTATGGCACATAATCCCTTACATTACAATTTATTCTCAACTTCATGAACATATTGATTAATGTTAACCCCGTGAAGTGGTAATACAGTACCTTTGTTTCTGGTTTGTGGAAGTCTGAACGCATTTGTTCATTGCACATGGTTGCTTGCTCTGCTACGTCTTTTGCTATTTTCAGTTTTGAAGCATTTATGTGATTAGACAGAGTCTACACATATGCAATATAATTTGTGATCAATTTTCCTGTTTAAGATAGAGACGAAAGTTCAGCATGCCCAATGTTTTTTGTTTTAGTCAGAGACTTACTTGAAAGTGTCTGGTTTAGTTGTACGTTTAACCTTTTAATATTTGGAATGAGGAATTCTTTAATTTTCTTCCAACTGAAAAAGGGGTTTGTGAATTGAGCTATGGAATGCTTCAGTCAGGGAGAGATCAGAGAAACCAACTAGTCTAAAACGTTAGCCACTGGGGAATTTGACTTGCTTCATAAATTTCAAGTGAAAAAGACCCCCCAAAGTGTTTTGGGGTATACAAAGCACAGTTTTAAACCCACATTGCCCATACTACCTGGATCTTAAAATATTAAAGGAAACTTAGTGAGAATGGAAATGCTGACACTGAAAACGTAGGAATGTTATGATAATGAAAGAACTTTTATGATATGATGAACTTTTACAGTTTTTATAGTAAAATAGAATACACAGAGATTTTAGATTTAGTGGAAGATTTATGGTGTTGATATTTGACAGTAATTTCATAAAAAGCAACATAGAGCAATATTTCATTCAAATTTAATCAAGTTGTTATTAGCCATGTACAAATATCCAGGTTGACAGGCATA